TGATGATTTCTGCTTTATAATACAATTTGAGATCTGGAATAGCTAGGCCACCTTCCCCTGCATTTCTTTTCATTAGTTCCCTTGATATTCTGGACCTTTTGTTCTTCCAAATGAATCTTGTTATTATTTTTTCTAACTCTATAAAATAATTTTTGGTAGTGTGATTGGTATGGCACTGAATAAGTAAATTAGCTTAGGTAGAATTGTCATTTTTATTATATTAGCTCAGCCTACCCATGAGCAACTGATGTTTTTCCAATTATTTAGATCTGACTTTATTTGTTTGAAAAGCGTTTTGTAATTGTGTTCATAGAGTTCCTGGGTTTGTTTCGGGAGGTAGACTCCTAAATATTTTATAATGTCTACAATAAGTTTAAATGGAATTTCTCTATCTCTTGCTGTTGGGCTGAATTTACCCTTTTCATTTTTGATACTGGTAATTTGGTTTTCTTGTTTCTTTTTTTTTTAAATCAAATCAACCAAAGGTTTATCTATTTTATTTGTGTTTTTTTCCCCCCACAAAACCAGCTCTTGGTTTTATTTATTAGTTCAATAGTTTTCTTAATTTCAATTTTATTAATCTATCCTTTGGTTTTCAAAAGTCTATCTTTCCATGGCCCTTTATTACATATAATTTTTATTGCATCATGATCTGAAAAGGATGCATTTAATATTTCTGCCTTTCTGCACTGGATTGTGAGGTTATTTTTTTTTGTATGTATAAGTGCCATGTACTGCTGAGAAAAAAAGAAGTATATTCCTTTCTATCCCCATTCAGTTTTCTCCAGAGGTCTACCATGTCTAACTTTTCTAAAATTCTATTCACCTTCTTAACTTCTTTCTTGTTTATTTTGTGGTTAGATTTATCTAGTTCAGAAAGGTGGAGGATGAGGTCCCCCACTAGTATAGTTTTGCTGTTTATTTCTTCCTGTAACTCTCTGAGCTTCTCCTCTAAGAATCTGGATGCTATATCACTTGGTGCATATATGTTTAGTAATGATATTACTTCGTTGTCTATGGTGCCTTTTAGCAGGATGTAGTTTCCTTCCTTCTCTCTTTTAAGAAGATCTATTTTTGCTTTTGCTTTGAGATCAGGATTGCTACCCCTGCTTTTTTTTACTTCAGCTGAAGCATAATATATTCTACTCCAGTCTTTTACCTTTACCCTATGTGTATCCCTCTGTTTCAAACGGGTTTCCTGTGAACAACATATTGTAGGATTATGGTTTTTTAATCCATTCTGCTTTGTTTCCATTTTATGGGAGAGTTCACCGATTCACATTCATAGTTATGATTCTGTGTCTTTCACTCTATCCTATTCCCCCCACTCCGTTTATGTTTTTCTTTCTTTCTCCCTTTCCCTCCTCACTAGTGTTTTGCTTTTGATCACCACCTCTCTCAGTCCACTCTCCCTTCTATTAGCTCCCTCCCTTTCCTTCCCCTTTACCCTTACTAATTCACCCCTTCCCTCTTCTTTTCCCTTTCCCCTCCTACTTCCTATAGAGTAAGTTAGATTTCTATACCTAACTGATTATGTTATTTCCTCTTTGAACCAAATCTGATGAGAGTAAGGTTCAAACAACGCTCATCTCCCTCCCTTCTTTCTCTCTATTGTAATAGGTTTTTGTGCCTTTTCATGCAATATAATTTACCCTTGTCTGCCTCCTCCTTTCTTTTTCTCCCAGTACAGTCCCTTAATTAGATCTACTTACTCAGATCCACTTAACCCACTTAATTAGATTTTTTTATCATTAAATCAAAGTCCACTTATACCCACCCTCTCTGTTTATGTGTACCCCTTTTAAATGATATAATAACAATACAGTTCTGGAAGAGTTACAAGTGTCATCTTCCCCTGTAGGGATGTAAACAGTTTGCCATTATTAATAACATGTTTGGGTTTTTTTTTTCCTGTCCTGTTTACCTTTTTATGCCTCTCTTGAGTCTTGTATTTGAAGATCAAATTTTCTGTTGAGCTATGATCTTTTCATCAGGAAGGTTTGGAAGTCCCCTATTTCATTGAATGACCATGTCCTCCCCTGAAAGATTATGCTCAGTTTTGCTGGGTAGTTGAACCTTGGTTGCAATCCAACCTCCTTTTCCTTACAGAATATAGTATTCTAACACCCTATGATCTTTTAATGTGGAAGCTGCGAGATCCTGCGTAATCCTGACTGTAGTTCCATGATAATTAAATTATTTCTTTCTGGCTGCTTGCAGTATTTTCTCTTTGACCTGGTAATTTTGGAATTTGGCTATTATATTCTTGGAGTTTTCATTTTGAGATCTCTTTTTAGGAGGTGATCAGTCGGTTCTTTTGATGACTATTTTACCCTCCAGTTCTAGGACTGCAAGGCAATTTTCCTTGATGATTTTCTGAAAGATGCTGTCCAGGCTCTTTTTTTTTAATCATGATTTTCAGGTAGACCAATAATTTTTAAATTGTCTCCCTGGATCTATGTTCCAGGTGAGTTGTTTTACCAATGTGTTAGTTTATGTTTTTATCTATTTTTTCATTCTTTTGTTTCTGTTTAACTGATTCTCACTCTCTCATAGTGTCATTAGCTTCCACTTGCCCAATTCTAATTTTTAATGAATTGTTTTCTTCTGTTAGTTTTTGTACCTCCTTTTCCATTTGGCCCATTTTAGTTTTTAAGGAGTTCTTCTCCTCAGTGAGTTTTTGTGCCTCTTTTTCCATTTGGCCAATTCTGCTTCTTAAGGAGTTGTTTTCTTCAGTGTCTTTTTTTTTGGCAATTGGGGTTAAGTGACTTGCCCAGAGTCACACAGCTAGTAAGTGTCAAGTGTTTGGTCTGAGGCTGGATTTGAACTCAGGTCCTCCTGATTTCAGGGCCGATGCTCTATCCACTAAGCCACCTAGCTGCCCCCTCAATGTCCTTTTTTTTCCAGTTGGCCAATTGTATTTTTTAAGGACTTGTTTTCTATAGTTAATTTTTGTCTTCCTTTTCCAAGCTATTGACTCTCTCTTGCATATCTCTCATTTCTTTTCCCATTATTTTCTTCTATCTCTCTTATTTGACTTTTAAAATCCTTCTTGAGCTCCTCCAAGAAGACTTTTTGGACTTGAGACCAGTTCATATTTACTTTTGACGTTTTGGATGTGGGTATATTGACAATATCGTCCTCTTCCGAATTTCTTAATAAGACCCTATGGTCATTGTACATTTCTTTTTGCTCATGGTGTTTGCTTATTTCCTGACTTAAAAAAAAAATTGAACTTTCCTGCTGGAGATCAGGGGGCACTGACCAGAGCTTCTTGTGCTGGGAGACTGGGACCTGGTCACTGGCTTTGTGTGCTGGAGCCTCAGGTGCTGGCAGTTGGAGGCTGTAGGATTCTGGCAGCTTATCTGGTGTTGGGCTGGAATTAGCAACACTGGAGCTGGGGTAGGGATGGGGAATCTGGCCCCTGGAAGACGCCTGCTCACCTGGGCCTTGTGCTCCTTTCTTTGGCTTCTGCTCACCCAGGCCTTGCACTCCTTTCTTTGGCTCCTGCTTACCAGGGTCTTGACCAGGGATGTTTCACTGCTGAAGGATGTCTCTCAGCCTGGAGCTTTACCTCTTGGAGTTGTGCTTCCCAGAGTTTTGCTGAGGCACCAGGAGACTTGGCTGCCAGAGAATGTCATGGCACACGGTAGTTTTCTGAGCCAATGTCCACTAGTTCCCCTGCCTGTACTAAGGCATTTGGGGGTCCTGGTGTTGGTGCTTGCCTGCTCCACCAGTCTGGGGTTCAGGATCTCACCCTGGTATGCTGAGGTGGGTCTTTCCGCTAGCTTGCTGGGATGCCTCCTATTCTGTACACCTCCTATTCTGTACTCCTCTCCCAGAGCGAGAGAGGTCTTTCCCGTTAGTCCCCCAAGCTTCCTGGGCTACAAGAATGCTGCATCCCATCTTTCTGCTGGTTCAGCTGTTCCAGGATTGTTGCTGGGATTATATTTTCTGGGCTTTCAGAGGTCAATAAGGGAGGATTACAGCGACTTATTTCTTACTCCGCTATCTTGGCTCTGGGAAGTGGAATTGAACTTTCTTTATTCTTTTTTTTTTTTGGTTTGAGTTTTCTTCCACAAAATGACTAATATAGAAATGTTTTACATCATTGCACATGTATAACCTGTATCAGATTGCTTACAGTCTCAGGAGGGGGAAGGGCAGGGAAAGAGAGAGAAAAAAAATTTACAACTCAAAACAAAAAACAGGATGTTAAAATTGTTTTTATATGTAAATGGGGAAAAAATAAAATGTCATTTAGAAAAAGATACAGACTATGCTCCACCTTTTACCTAAAGCCTTTCTTCATATAATAAATATCAAATTGATTGCTTCCTCAAAGAGAGGGGAAGAATGGAGGGAGTAAGAGAATTTGGCACTCAAAAATTTATCAAATGGATGTTAAAAAAATTTTTTACATGTAATTGGGAAATATTTAGTAAAATATATAATATATTAAAAAGCCTTTCTTGATCTTCTCAAGATCTTCCCTCCACAACTACCTTGTATTAACTTTGTATGTATTTATTCTGGACATATTTATAAAGGTTCAGGTTGATTCCCCCAATACAATGTAAGTTCCTTGAGAGCAAGAGTTATTTTATCGGTTAACTTTATGTCCCTAGCACTCAACAATTCTAGCCCTGGGCTTGCTGATTGGTACTACTAGAATAGCAATACTTTCTACAGCGTAAATATTAAGAAGTAGGAAGACCCTGAAAAACAAGATCTCAAATATCTTTTGAGGCCATATTTAGTCAACTATATTTTAAGAATGTGGGCTTTGTTCTAATAAACCGGGAGTGTTTTTTTGGTAGTCAAATGCTATAGTCTCCTCCCAGGTATTACTAGGGGGAGAGGCCCAAATTTTGTATTTCTGTATATAAGGGTAGACTAAGGTTTTTCCACTATATTCAGAAAGTACATCAGCTATTATGCTGGGCTTCAGCATGTGATCATAGATGACTCTGCCTCTGATCTAAACAGAAGCTCTTTACCTGGCACCGACTCTCCAACTCTAGCCTCATTTTTCGTTCTGCCTCTAGTCGTAATTGTTGTTGCTTATTTTGTGCTGAGAAATCATGTTGGCTCTTTGCTAACATCTGCATTTCCCGCTGCAGAGTGGTCACTTCAGCCACAAATTCCTTGATGCTCAGTGACTGGAATGGCATACACACAAAAGATTGAATGATCATGAGCAAATGTGGGACTTTGTATTCCAGGATAAATATATAGTTAGTACAAAGTATCTACCTGTTCATAATCCTTTTTCTGATATTGATCCTTAATTAGCTCCATTTGCTTCAATTCTGTTTCTATTTGCTGAAAACAAATGAGGAATAGTGTAAGTAAGATCATGGAAAATCTGCTTGCCCCATTTGTCAGTAGGATGCATAGAACCATATAGCATGAGTAGGTTTTTCTTCACATCTAGTCTACTGGCACTAAAGAACAAGCTTCAGCCCAATCAATGTGAGGAGTGGTTCAGTGGCCAGTACATATCTAATTTTAACCACATCTCTTCACATCAATATTTACTTGTTGGGGGTGAGGGAGAAGTAGACTGTTCATTTCTCACCCTGTTACTTTTCTGGACTTTAGAGTCTCCAGAAACTCATCATTATGTAAGATAAATGAATTTAACTCTGAAACACACTATCTCAGTACCCCCTGCATCTAGAATCCCTCCCTCTGATTGGAAAGGTGGAGGTGGAAACTGGAGAGCTTGTCCTAGATCCTCCACCATTTAAAGAGGATACCCAGGAAATTCTCATCATTTCTCACCCAAGTGCTTTACTAGACTTCATCATCTCCAGAAACTCAGCATTCTGAAAGATGAAATCAACTCTGAAACTCACACTTCCTCAGCATCACCTGCCCCTGGGGCCCTCTTTCCTTCAGGTTGGAGAGGGTGGAAGGGGGACATTTGGGAGCTCCTCCCTGATCCTCCACCACTTAAGGAGGCCAATTAGGGAATTTTCTTCATCATTTCCCACTTGGCTGCTTTCTTGGACTTCATGGTCTCCAGAAATTCATCATTCTGCAAGATGAAATCAACTCTAAAACTCATACCTCTTCAGCACCTCATCCCTAGGGCTCCTCCTTCCCTCTGGTTGGAGCAGGTGGTAGGGGAGGACATTTGAGAACTTCTCCCTGACATGCCACCATTTTTTCACCTGGTAGCTTTCCTGGGCTTCATGGCCTCCAGAAAGTCATTGTTCTTTAAGTGAAATCATCTCTGAAACTCTCACCTCTTCAAATCATTTCCCACCCCTGCTGCAGGATTTTATCATGCTTCATTGCTAGGTAACCGCCCTCCTACACACTCCCACTTTTCAGTTTCATTTTATATTTTGCCTCGTCCATTACATTGTGAGCTTTTTGAGGACGAGGACTACCTTATGCCTTTCTTTGTATCCCTTGTGCTTAGCACAGTGCCTGGCACATAGTAGGTGTTTAATAAATGTTTATTGACTCTCTGTTTCAAGGCAACCTTCTTATTTACCAGCTGTTGCTAGTACTGCCTAAGGCAATACTATTAAATATTCTGAAAATTTCTTCTCCTGGCATCAATTGCTTATATTTCAGTCTAGGAGACAGTGTTAACAGAGGGTCTTAAGGTAATTCCTTGTGACAGAGGGCCTTCATACAACCTTTATTCTCTCTGCATTCTGGACATTTTGAGCCTTGGAAGACAAATGGTGCTTGATCTGGGCCTTCTGGCTCTTTAATTTTTCCTTGAGATTGGCTAATGTTTTCTCTAGTTCTGTCACTTTCTGTCGCAGCTCTCTGTTGGCCCGAGACACTTCCACTGATCTGGAGTTGGCATCATCAAGGGCTTTCCTCAGCTGTAGGGCACAAATAAAACCATGAGAATACTTTCACCTTCCATTTCAGTTACATAAGTTTATATCATTAATTTTACAGTCTTTTCTTTCTCTTTTTTTTTTTTTTAGCAGGTGAGTTGGATGCCTTATTGTGGTATGGAGATTTCTCCTGATGATTGAAGGCTCTATCAGTAGAGCACAAGATCTAAGAAGTCTTATGCCAAGCTAGAAAGGCTCCAAGAATGAGCCCAGTGACTACAAGAGGGTCATCACTTGGGTTATCTACTGAGTGATGAGTTTTTAAACCACAGCAACTTTGGAAGACCACCTACTAAAAGATGCAGAGGTTGTATAATCTATATTGGTAGAAGTATGATCATAGATCCCTGGAGTACTGAAGCATTTACCCTGACCCCCAGAAATCAGCCAAAGGTCTAACTCAAAAATCTTCCAGAGGTGAAGTTCTAAAAACAATTCAGTTATTGTTTATGGTTTGAAAAGGCATTCTCATGGTTCAGCACCAACAGCTTATATTTAATCCTGGAGAATAATGTTAAAAAACAAAGGGGTCTTAAGACAATGTCTTGTGGTTTAGAGTCTTGGTATAACATTTACCTTTGAATTCTGAGCATTATGGAAACCTTGGAAGATTCAGGTCTTCTAGTGTTTTAATTTCTCCTTGTCACTAGTTAATATTTTTCCTAGCTCTACTACTTTTATTGATGATTTCTGTTGACTCATACAAATTCCCAAATCAAAGGATCCTTTTCCCCTTGTTGAACAAAGGACAACAAAGAAGTACATATATTGCTTGGTACAATAGAGACAATTACTCCCAAACCCTTACACCAAAGTTTCAGTTCTGTATCAACATCAAAAGGACATTGCCACTTGGTTGTCTCACCATCATGTCAAAACTTAAGATTATCTAATGTAAGAAGGGGTTGATTAAAGGAGTTCCTAATGAGCTTAGAGGGTGGAAAACAGGGATTTTTGATTGCATGTCAAGGACAGTATGGATATGCCCCTTCATTTCTCCTGGAGAATAGGTTTCACTGTTGGGGTCATCCAAAAGATGAATTGGTTGGGCCCACTGTTTTGGGAAAAGCCACCTACTTGTAGTGACCAATAAAATAGAGTTTATAGGCCCTTTTGGCCTTTTCTTTTTGGAAAGATACTATGATCACATTAGAACCATGAGTGGAACCTCTGAAGGCAGCCTTTGGGCAAAAGAACACAGCTTCTATAAGTACTCATCTGCATGACCTAGAAGAGAGTCTCTTGGACAATGCAAAATTCCTAACCCAAGACTTGAAATGGCAACGGAGTGACTGCCCAACCACAAGGCAGTTATGGAGAAGTGAATTTTGTGGCCAAGTGGTGAGAGATCCTGAGGGTTCCCATCTGAGAATCCCCAAGATTAAGAGCCTAGAATGACCTTCTAATAAGAGAAGGGAGATTTCCTCAGTAGCAGCTTCCCAGAATCTAACCTTTTTATGAGAGATGGAATATTTCCTGGGGACTTGTCTTGTGGACTGCCTTGTGAAAGGGGTTCCAAGTTCAAAAGTTTGGGTATCTGGCCTTCTATTGAAAGAAGGAGAACTTAAGAATAGCATACATGGCCCCTTATGTAGAAAGAAAGTAAAGCTAGGTTACAGAAAAGCAAAGGATTTGGATTTTGGTCTGCTAGTACTGTTTACTCAGACTATGCAGGTCTAATGGGAAAGGGATTATCTGTCTAGCAGTCCCAGGTACAGTTCCCTTCCATGGTGAGTCTAAGACTTCACAGTAGAACAATAAAGTTGGATGTCTGTATAGGTTTCTCTGTCGGGGTGAAAATGGAATGCATTGGAATTCTGGAATGTTACCTATCCAGCAACACCATGTTTTTCTGTTTGGAGGGTAATCCAAACCAGAAGTACTGATATTAGTCTGAGGGGCCCTGTAGGCACCCCTATGGAAAATGGAACTCACGGAAAAATAAGAGTACATCCTCACTGGCAACATAAAATTCATTTTCCTTCTTAGAGATATCCAAACCATAGGGTGACATTCTGAGCATAGGACTTTAAGACATTAGTAGAAAATAAGAATCATAGGAAAAAGAGAAGAATTATATTGATATGTTTTTGTATTTTCTAGGGGATAGAATGATATTTGATACCTGTGATGCTAAATGCATTTGTTAAATTGAGAACTAATAGAGCTATTTGCCTTTGTGGAAACTGAGATATGAGCCATATTTTGAGATTTCCCAAAAACTTCAGGGGAAGGCATACAAAGCTAAAAAAGATAGTGATACTTTTGATCTAGTAAAAAATACATTAAACTGAAAAAAAACCCATCAGACCCATTTCCATTTTTCATCCTTTTGCCTCCTAAGGTTCAAAACCCTGAAACTGGTTTTCTTTGACTCTTCCTCCTCTTTTGTTCTACACATCCATTTTAGCCATCAGTTCGTATGATTCTTCTATTGAAATGTCTAAATTGACCCTTCATTATCTCAACACTCTAATCCAGGTCCCAATTAACCTCATGGTTAGATAATTCAATACTTCAATAGTCTCCCTACTTACAGCCTTCCTCCATTCCTCTCCAGCCTACACAACATTATCAGATTTTATTGCAATGAATCTGTGATCTCAATGATAATGACATCCCATCCAAAATCTTATATCATAACACATTCACACCTTTCCATCCTGTGTGATTCTTGACCATGTTTGGACATAAATCTTCCATATAAAATTTTAACGTGTTGAAGTCCTTTTTCTAGATTTTAAAATATTTTATTGGTACCAGTGGGTCCTTGGACTGCTATCTTCTTCCCTCAATATATTACCAACCTGCCTCCTCTTCTATTTAACCATGACTTGGATAACTTTTATGCCACTTATTGTGCCCTAGCCATCACTGTGCTCAGTGGAACTCAACACAGTAGAATCACAGAATTTGAGAGTGAGAAGGGATTTCAAAGGCCATCTGGTCCAACCTATATGTAAATAGAATCCCCATTATAACAAACCTGACAAGTGCTCAGGAAAGGGAACCTAGCATTTCTCTTTTTTTCCAAATTCAATTTTATTTTATTTTCAGTTCTGAATTCTCTCCTTCCCAACTCTCTTCTTTCCTGACCATTGAGAAGGCAAGAAAAATAAAACCCATCACAAAAATGTATAGTCAAGCAAAACAAATTCCCACATTAGTCATGTCTAAAAAGGAAGAAAGGGAAATATGCTTCAATTCGCAACAAGTCCATTAGTTCTGTATCTGGAGGTGGATAGCATGAGTTCTTTGGAATTGTAGTAGGTCATTGTGTTGAAAAGAATTCCTAAGTCTTTCAAAGTTATTTATCTTTGCAATATTATTATAATTATATGAATTGTTCTCCTAGTTCTGTTCACTTTATTTTGCATCAGTTCATACAAGTCTCAAGTTTTTCTGAAACCATCCCCCTTCATAATTCCTTACAGCATAAAAACATTTCCTCACTTTTCACGTATAATTTGTTCAGCTACTCTCCAATTGATGAGCATCCCTTCAGTTTTCAATTCTTCGTCACCACAAAAAGAGCTGCTACAAACATTTTTTGTACAAATAAGTCCTTTTCCCCTTTTTTTGGTTGCTATTTTTGGGGCATAGAAATAGTAGTAGCATCACTGGGTATGTAGTATCAAACCATTTTGATGATTGTGGCTTTGTAGTATAGCTTGAGATCTGGTATTGCTAGGCCTCCTCCCTTCCCACTTTTTTCACTAATTCCTTTGATATTCTTGACCCTTTATTCCTCTAGATGAATTTTGTTACTATTTTAATAGCTCTATAAAGTAATCCTTTGGTAGTTTGGTTGGTGTGTCATTGAATAAGTAAATTAGTTTAGGCAGTATTGTCATTTTTATTATATTGACTCAGCCTACCCATGAGCAATGAATATTTCTCCAATGATTTAGGTTTGTATTTGTGTGGAGGGTTTTGTAATTATGTTCATGTAGTTCCTGTGTGTCTATTGGCAGGCAGACTCCCAAGAATTTTATACTGTTTGTAGTTATTTGAAATGAAATTTCTCTGTCACTTACTGCTGAATATTGTTGGTAATACAGAAATGCTGATGATTTGTGTTTTAATGGCAGCCCATTCCACTTTTGGTCATTTGTAATAGGAAGATTTTCTGACACTTAAATGAAATTGACCTCTTTGCAACTTTTTACCATTGATCCTTCCTTCTGGAGCCCAACAGAACAAGTTTAAACACTCCTCCAAATGACAGACCTTCAAATACTTGAAGACAGCTATTATTACACTCCCCCACCACCACCAATTTTCACCAAATCTTTTCTTTTCTAGGTTAAACATGCTCAGCTAATGCTCATATAACATAGACTCACAGTCTTTCACCAGCCTGATTGCACTCCTCTGAACATTCTTTAGCTTATGTCCATCTTAAATTGTAGCAACTACAATTTTACATGATCTTCAGATGAGGCCTGACTGGGGCAGAATACAGTGAGACTATTATCTCCATATTCATTGAAACTATGCCTTGAAGACCAAGATATAGCATTTCTTTGGGTTCTTTTGTTTGGCTTCCACATTACATTGCTAACTCATATTGAGTTGTAGTTCACTAAATCCTTGAGATTTTTTTTTCAGAACTAATGGCCTACCATGCTTTCTTCATATTCTACTAAGAAGTTGATATTTTAGGCCCAAGTGTGAGACTTTTCATTTATCCCTATTGAATTTTATCTTATTAAGGTTAGTGCAGTTCTCCAGTCTATCAAAATCTTTTGGATCTTGAATATACCAGTACATTAGCTATCTAATTCAGCTTAGCATTATTTGTCAATTCACAAAGCATGTCACCTATGTCTTTGGTCAAATCATTAATAAAAATTTTAGGCAGTACAGAGCCAAGCACAGATTCCTGGGGTACTCCAATGAAAACCTCTTGCCATAATGACACTTGTTGGTTAACAATCACTCTTGGAGTCTAGCCTTCCAGTCAGTTCTAACTATATTTAATTGCATCATTGTGGCCTATATTTCTCCATATTCTCAAGAAGAGTATGTGATATTTTACCAAAAGCTTTACTAAAATCTAACTACATGCACAACATTTTCTTCATCTAAGTTAGTGGAAAACAAAGGAAATGTGATTAATCTGTAAAAATCTGTTTTTAATGAGACCATGCCAATGTGTGATCATTACATCACTTTTAAGTTATTAATCATCTCTTTAATGATTCATTCTAGAATATTCCCAAGAAGTAAAGACAAGATCACTGACCAATAGTTTGCAAACTGTTCTCTTTTTTTAGAAAATCAGAGTTTTCTTTTCTCCAATTTTGTGGTACCTCTTCTGGTTTCCAGGATCTTCCAACTATCTCTGATAAGGGCTCAATCATCAACCAGTTTCTTTTAGCCCCCCAACAATGAAGTCTGTCTGGAGCAGATGACTTGAATTCATCAACATGTTGTCTTACTATCTCCTGACTTATCTTGGGCATTGACTCTCTGTTAGTAATTTCTCTTCTATCATTTCTATTGCAGAAGCCATCCTCCTCCTCAGCAGAGAAAACAGAAGGAAAATAAGAATCAAATGGCTCCACTTTCTCTTTCTTGTCTGTTACCATAGATTCCACCACTCCTATCTCTCCTTAGATACTTTTTTTTCCTCTTACTGTAGCTTAAAACTCAGCTCATTCTTAGCTGCAGCACTCCAGACACTTATTTATTTATTTATTTGTTTGTTTGTTTGTTTGTTTAGGCTAGGCAATGGGGTTAAGTGACTTGCCCAGGGTCCCACAGCCAGTAAGTGTTATGGGTCTGAGTTTGGATTTAAACTCAGGTCCTCCTGAATCCAGGGCCAGTGCTCTATCCACTGCGCCACCAAGCTTCCCCACTAGACACTTATTTTTACAGGACCATGTTATGCTCTGAGAGTCATTTATCCATTACTTTTAAAACGATCTGTCTCTTCAGACAAATCCCATTTTTACTTCTCAGTAGAAGGGACTGTTTTTGGATTTTTGTTCTCAGCATGTTGTCTACCTCTTGGGCTAACTTCCTTTGAATCATTTTAGTCCATTATTATCTTACCTATATTTTCGATCTCTTTGAAATCTGCTTTACCAAAATCTAGTGTGAATGTCATACTATGCCAGGATTTCCTCTACTTCTCTATCACAAACTCTAGGATGAGAATCAGATTAGAGTCAGATCCAGGATAGAATTTCCCCTTGTTGGTTCCTCTTCCTTTTGAAGGCTAAAATTATCATTACAGCAGATCAAGAAGTTATGTGCTCTGCTTTTGTCAAGGAGAGAGAGACAGCTCTTGAAGATGTCTAGATGTTTGAAGTCCCCCATTAGTACCATATCATACCCCAAAGTGAATCTATGTCTCCTTTCAGTATTGGTAATCCAATGACAAAATCATTTCTGTTTTTCCTTTCCTTGACCTTAACCCAAAGACTCTCCATTAAGCTTTCTCCTCTGGTCCTTCGATTCCTTTACTTGAGGATACTTTCTTGATATATACCGTTACTCCTTCCCCTTTTACCTATCCTGTTTCTTTTCTATCCAGAGCACAGTCCAATCATGGGTTTCATCACACCAAGTTTCAGTGAGATATGAGGTCAAATTTATTTTGGGTATCTCTATACAGATATTTGAAGCCATTGGCTTTTCTATTTTTTTGGATTTTGTCTCCTACGAACTTTTGGTATTTCAACTTCTTTTCTTCTCCTTCATGTAGCTACTTTACAGTACCTAGTTTGGGGGATATATGTAAACAATTTTGCCCTTTTCCATATCCATTTTAGTTTGAAGACTTTTTTATTGGATTTGCAAGGCACCTAGAAAATATAATCCTACCAGCCCTTGTTAGGTATATGCTATCTCTAGCTAGGAATCTGTTATTTCTATATTTTAAGCCATAGTCCATAAGTCCAAATCCTTTTCTGAGAGACTGCCTTCTTAGCCAGCTGTTCGCTTCCCAAATTATTTTTTCTTTTCTGTATTCTATCCAACAATGAGGAAAATACAACTTGTGCTCCTGCATTCTTCAGTTTCTTGCCCAAGATTTCATCATTGAAAAAGCAGTATACTAAGTGGCAGGATAATATCTGAAGTTAATATTAGCATTTATATATCATGTCTAGTTATGCCCACCATGAATCTTTCCATTGTCCTTTGGGTCTCTCAAAATGTTCATTCTTATGAAAGTGTGATGGTCCATGATTTGCAACCATATAGCATTGCCAGAATCTCTATGCAATTTTCCAAATACAATACAACCCATATGCTTCCTCCTATTTAATTCTTGGCCCAGCTCATATGCAATTCCTCACACACACACACACACACACACACACACACACACACACACACAAATATAAAGTTGGACTAACTCAAAGGGTTGCCCATCTAGTTGCATGTCATAATTCAGACAACTGGCATTTTTTTCTTATTTCGTCTTTCTTTGTGGCTTGTTAGGCCAATCTATTTTTAGTTGTTGTGGATATAATTGAGGAATACTATAATAGTTTTAGATTAATGCATTTAGCACAATGGCAAATAGAAGCATTTACCTTACTTTGAACCTTTCCATCACCTTATTACTTTTCTAAGCAAGTTCCTTAGACTGAATCTCTGGTGATTTTGCTTTTCAAAGATTCCCTTTGATGTGTTCAATTAATCAGTAAGTATTTAATCAGAATTTACTATGTTAACTTTCAAACAGAAAGACAACTAAATATTTCTAAAGGGCCTTGCCCTCAGCAGCCCTAAAAGCGGCTTGACTGATGGCCAGAAAAGTAAAATGTAATGATTACTCTGAACCTAAAACCATCAACTAGTTGGAGTGGGAAGGGGAAAATTGTTGTTGTACATGAAGTGAGTGCTTGAAAAATGCCAGTTTAATTAAATGGATTAGAAAGGTAATTTCATATATATAAATAAGGAGTCTCCTTATCACATATCCAATGGAACAGGGAAAATGTTTGCACACTGGTAGTTCTTCATTAGGGGCATTAGGCATATCACTTGTTTTCTTTAGTGTAGTGCCTACTGCCATCTTACGAAGAACAGTGAGTTTGCTTAACCACATCTGGTCTGCCTGAAAAGATGGGAACCTGAAGAAACCACTAGTCTCAAAACTCTTCAGCCAGTCTCTTTTTGAGAGATTCATGGGGAGGGAGGAAGGGAAAGAGACAGACAGACAGAGAGACAATAGTTTTTCATAATCTCACATCTTACCTCATTTGTTTCCCGTTGTGCAGCTTTCCTGACAGTCTCTCTCTCAGACTGAAACTGCTTTCTCAAAGAATCTATGCGTTCAGCAGTCATCTCAGCTTGCATTTTGGATTCCTCAGCCACCTGTTCCCTATTTATTTTGAGGGGAGGAAGGATTATGAATCATCTTTAGAAATTAATCTTAGTTAACTTTATTAAAGGAAACTTCATATAAAAGTGAACAATACCTACTTTCAGAAAGATTATGGGAATAGCATTCCAACCCTAAAACAAATACAGGATCAAAACATCTTAGAAATTAGAGGTCATTTACCCCATCCTACCAAGAAATCTCCCCCAAGTAGCCTTGTAGCCTCCACTTGAAAGTCAACAGTGATGAGGAACCCAGTACTTTCTAAGGCAGCCCATTCTATTTCATGACTTTTAATTGTCAGGAATTTTGTCCTTACATCAGACTCTGATTCTTTGACACTTCTACCTATTCCAGTTCTGCCCTTTGGGCCCAAGAAGAACATGTCTAATCCCACTTCCAAATGACAACACTTTTTTTTTTTAGGCAATTGGGGTTAAGTGACTTGCCCAGGGTCACACAGCTAGTAAGTGTCCAGTGTTTGGTCTGAGGCTGGATTTGAACTCAGGTCTTCCTGACTTCAGGGCCGGTACTCTATCCACTGTGCCACCTAACTGCCCCAAATGACAACACTTCTAAAACGAATCTGTTAAAGGAAACAGGCCTGGAAGACTTTATTTGATCCTGGAGGCCATATTTTGAGCTACTTGAACTTATTGAGTGGGGTGTGTGTGACATGACCAGACCTTCACTTTAGGAGAATCATTTTAGAGGATGAATGCAGGAAGGAAAGAATGAAGAACAGAGTGGGGAGAGACTTGAAGCAGGCAGACCAATTAGCAACTTCCTGTATAAATTAAGGGGTGAAGTGAGGAGGGCCTGTTCTAGAGTAGCAGCAGTGTCGGAGGGAAGAAGGGGTATATTTGAGAGATGTTGTAAAGGTGAAATCAAAAGTCCTTGCTAACAGATTGGATTGTGTGTGTAGGGGGGGAGTCAAAGACAGTGAAGAGTCAAGGATGACACCAAGGTTCTGAGTCTCAGGGACTGGATGGTGTTGTCCTCTAGGGAAGATGGGCAGGGGGAAGATTTAAGGAGGAAAATAATGAATCCTGTTTGAGACATATTGAGTTTCATATGTCTACTGGATATCCAACTAAAAGGCAGTTGGAAATGCAAGATTGGAGGTCAGCAGAGAGACTGAGGGTGGGATTGGTAGATCTGAGAATCATCAGCATAGAGATGGTTATTAAATCCAGGGAAGCTAATGAGATCATCAAGTGAAGTAGTATAGAGGGAAAATAGAGGCTAAGAACTGATCCCTGAGGGATACCTACTAGGTAAAGAAGATTGGGATTTCACCTTTTTCCTATAAATATTCCCATCAAATGCTCTTCGTTGATTCATTTTGCCTTTCAGTGGTCTTTCCTCTCATCCCTATGGCTATGATTAAGTATCTGACCTCCCAAATCTTGTTTCTCTTTGCTTTTTCCTTTTTCCTTTCCTTTCTCCTCTAATCTTTTTATCTCCCTTTTTTATCTCTCTTAATATGCATCTCACTTCTTTCCTCATGAGGGCAAACTTAAGTAGATGACTCCCTAAAATAGTTCCCTTTCCTTTTCAGGCTGATTCCTGAAATTCTACATTATAGCTTAAGCCAAACATTCTTAGGGCTGGAATAAAATTCAAAGGCCACCTAGTCCAACTGATGTCTGAAGAAGAATCCCCTCTACCATGTTCCTAACAAGTGGCCATCCAGTCTTTGCTTTGAAGACCACAAGTGAAGGGGAGATAACTACTTCCAAAGACTTTCATTTCACTTTTTGTTCTGTTACAAAGTTTTTTCTTATATCATGCATAAGTCCCCTTTGTGGCAACTTCCAATCATTACTTCTACTTTTGCCTTCTGGGGTCAAGCAGAAGCCTAATTCTTTTTCCCCATCTCCACCACTTTCCAAATACTAGAAGACAGTCACCACATTTCCCCTAAGTCTTATCTTGTCTATTCCAACTACTGTGCCTTCTACTGTTCTGAATGTGGCTTAGTCTTGATCACCTTCTTCTGGATGCACTTCAGGGTGTAATTCCTAAAGAATGGCATCCAGAAATGTACACAAAACTCCAACATTCTATGAACAATACTTCTTTCTAAAAAATTTAAAAATCACAAACCAGAAAAATTAAACACAAACATAGCCATACATATCTTATGGCACAATAATATGTTATTAAATTCACATGCCACAATTTGTTCAACCATTCCCCAACAGATGATATACCCATTTTAAGTTCTTGACCACAAAAAAAAAATGCTGCTATAAATATTTTTGTACATATAGGTCCTTTTCTTTTTCCTTTGATCTCTTTAGGGTATATGTCTAATACTGGTATCACCAGACTAAAGTTATGGTTTAACACTTTTTTAGGTATAGTTCAAAATTGTTTTCCAGAATAGAAATGAATTGACTGGATAGTAGATTAGCTTTATCAATAGTTCATTAGTTTGCTTGTCCTTCCTCAGTCCCCCCAACAATTGTTAAGAGGGAATCTCAGAGTTGTTTTTAATTTGTATTTCTCTTATTATTAGTGATTTGGAACATTTTATTCAAATGGTTGATGATAACTTGTATATTTTTCTCCTTGAGAACTGTTAGAACTATAGCTTTTAATGAATGTTAAAATTCTATTCCCTGTTTTCTTGTTGCTCTATTGCAGTTTATTACATTGAGCTTAAAGTCCATTAAACATTTTCAGATTTTTTTCCAGATGAACTATTGTCTAGACATGTTTCTCCAGTCTTGTACTTGTGAAGTTGATTTTATGAATGGGATGGGATTTTGCATTTATACTTATTAAATTTAATCTTATAGACTCAACCCATTATTCTAATCCAGATATTTGAGGGTTGTTTCTGTCATCTAAAAACTTTGTATTATCTGAAAATTTGACAAACATGTCATTTATATTTTAATTTATATCATGGATGAAAAATGGTGAATAGTACAAGGTTAAGCATAGATCACTGGGTCACTCTATTAGAGAGGCCTTTCCTCAAATGAATATTAATCTATTAATGAATTTTCTGGGGAAAGTAATTTAACCAGTTCTGAATCCATCTAACTACATTATTTTTTAGTTATATTGACCACAAGGTAGCATGAGAGACTCTGTCAAATGATATGCTGAAATTTAGGTATACTGCTATGCCTAAAGTATTCTTTTGATTTACTAATCTAATAATCCCATTAAAAAAGGAAAGGCAAGAAGCATTTATTAAGCACTTACTATATGCCAGGCATTGTGCTAAGCACTAGAGATTAAATACAAGCAAAAGAAAAACAGAAACTCAGACCTTAATGGGGTAGATGAATAGCTGAGGCATGGGGGAGCTAAAGAGATGAGGTATCTCCACAAGGGCACAATGTGGAGGTCAGAAGCAAAGCAGACGGGAAATGAAGACTGTCCAGCTTGGGTCTCTTCTCCAAATAGAAACTGTGGGAGGACCTCACCAATGAAAGGCGATCAGCATGATGGAGAGATGTTCAAGGGAGAGGAGGTCACAGGGGTTGAGGGGCTGATGGATGTTCCACCATGAGGAGACCCCAGGCTCTGAGTCATGGTGTTAAAGTTCATAAAACCAGGGGCAAAGCTGGGAAGAAAAATGATGTTAGTTTGCCATGTCCTGTTCTTAATGAAGCCATGCTGCTTTTTAATGATCACTGCCTTCCTAATGGCCAACTGTTCACTCAAACAAACAAACAAAACCACTCATTCATTCCTTTAAAAATATTGAAGAAATTTAGAAAGAATTACAGTCAAGCTCACCAGTTTATAGTTTATATTATCTTCCCTTTTCAATTTTTGAAAATGAAGTTAAATTTTGTTCTCCAGTCCTGTGGCACTTCTCATACTCTAAAATTGCTCAAAGATTATGCACAGTGACTTAGCAATCATAGCTGTCAGTTCTCTTAGTGCTCAAAGGTGTGTGGGCCTGTTGGCTTGAAGTCATTGAGGGCATTTAGATGTTCTCTTGCCATCTCACTCATCTTATATATATCTATTTCTTGTTAACCATTTTTTTGTTATAATCTGCCAGACAACAGATTGTTCTCCTTGTCCAAAAAGACGAGAAAAAAAAGAGCCCAATGGTTCCATTTCTTCTCAGTTGTTTGTTACTGTCCCAGCTATCAGCAACATGGTCCTTCCTCATCTCTGACCTTCCTTATGTGCCCCAAATAGCTTTTTTAAATTTAATTTTTTAATTTTTTTCTCAACTACATGTAAAAGTTATTTTTAACATTATTTTTAAAATATTTGAATCCCAAATTCTCTCCCTCCCTCTCATTCCTACCCCCTCCTCAAGAAGGCAAGCATTTTACTATAGATTATACATGTGCAGTCATGCAAAACATATTCCTTATTAGCCAAAAAGCTCCAAGAAAAATAAAGTAAAAAATATGCTTCAATCTTCATTCAGACTTCATCAGTTCCTTCTCTGGAATTGAATAACATTTTTAATTTCAAGTCCTTTGGAATTGTCTTGGATCATTATATTTCAAAGAATAGTTAAGTCATTCAGAGTTGATCATCTTTACAATATTGCTGTTACTATATACAACGATATTGTGTACTGATTCTGCTCACTTCACTTTGCATTAGTTCATATAAGTCTTTCCAGATTTCTCTGAGAGCATCCTGATCTTCATTTCTTATAGCACAATAGTATTCCATCACAACCATATACCACAACTTGTTCATCCATTTCCCCAATTGATATGCATCCCTTAAATTTCCAATTCTTTGCCGCCACAAAAAGAACTGCTATAAATATTTTTTTGTACAAATAGGTCTTTTTCCTTTCTCTTTGATCTCTTTGAGATACAGACCTAGTAGTGGTAATGCTGGGTCAAAGATTATGTGCAGCTTAATAGCCCTTTGGGCATGGTTCCAAATTGTTCTCCAGAACGGTTGGATCAGTTCACAATTCCACCAACAGTGCACTGGTGTCTCTGCAACACCTGTCATTTAAATTTTCTGTCATATTAGCCAATCTGATAGGTGTG